GTCAGCGGGGGTGGGAGCCGGTTTTTTTTTTTTTTTTTAAATTATTTGTTTTATTAATGAGCATTTAATAGTACAATCACTTTTTTGGCCTATAAATAGACCTAAAGGAGAAGGAGGTAGAGTCGCCGTGAGGTGTTGCGGTGGTGCTCGCGGTGAGACGTTGCGACGACGCTTTGCGGCGAGGCGTCGCAGTGACGTGACTCGTTGCGGTGTTGTTTCGCGGCAAGACGTCACGACGACGCGTCGCGGCGGGGCGTCACATGACTTGACTCATTACAATGGCGCATTGCAGCGGTGCGTCGCGGCGACGCATGATGGCGCGGCGTTGCGGCGAAGCGACGCTTTGTGACAGTGTGTCGTAGCAATGTATCGCGGCGACGCGTTGCATCGGATCATTGTGGCGGGGTGTAACAGTGACAGGGCACGTTGTGGCGGTGCGTGGGTGCAAGGCGTTGCGGCGACGCGTTGTGGTGGCGTTGTGGTGGGGCGTCGGAGCGACTCGACGAGTTGCGGCAGTGCATCGTGGCGACGAGTTGTGGCAGTGCATCGCGGCGACGAGTGGCGGCGAAGCGTCGCGACGACATGTTGCGGTGAAGCGATGCATCGTGACGAAGCGTTGTAGTGGAGCCAAGCGTCGCGAAACGTTGCGGCAATGACGCGTTGCGGCAATGCGTCTGGGCGTCTCGGCGACACGACGAGTTGCGACAGAGAGTTGATGAGAAGAGTTGTAGTGAAGAGTTGTTGTGCCGACTCTGCTCGAAGATGAGCTGATCTGTTGTAGCTTTTATTCAAATACATGTTGGTATTTGTAGTCTTTTTAATCATCTGATGTAACATTTGTAGATTATGATAATGCATTTTTTTGTCGCTTCCACGGTTGTTGTGGCATCTTAACTGTACAAAATTCCTTTAAGACGAGCACCCTCTGAAGTTGTGCCCTCTCAAACTGATGCCTTATAGGAGCTTTGAGTGGAGACCCTATCAACCACTTGCTCTTGTGGAGTCTTTTTACTAAAGCCTCTATCCACTACTAGCTTCCCATCGAGACTCTCCTCTTGGAGGATTTCCAGAGGCATGTTTGAAAGAAAAAATCCATTAAGAATGTGAGAACAATTTTGAGTTGTATAACCGAAGATGCTCAACGATTTTAATTCGTAATGAACAAAGTCATGAAATCCACTTAGGATGGTTGACCTATCCTAGGTTGTTGGTCGAAGTTTTAGCTTGACGACCGTAACCTGTTATGGAGAGTTCGAAGGAAATCCACCAAGAATTTTTGACCTATCTGAGGCTGTACGTCGAAGTCTTTGTTTGACGACTGTAGCCTGTAATGGAAGAGGTCGAATCGAGTCCCCCTGGGACCGATTAATCCCAGAATGAGGTGTCAGAGATGCTCTGCGTTTCTCGAAACTGCGGTATAGGTTGCAATGGACCATATGTTTTTTTGAAAATATGGTTGGAGTCATACTCAAGAAAAAATGTTTGACAACTTGTCAGTT